TCTATTAAATCGCTATTAAATGAGTTATAAATTACGGGGAAAAAATTAACCGATTCCAGCGCGCTGTGTATGAATGCGCGGCACTTAACGCACATTTAGCCAAGCCGATTAAATGGCACACATTGTTATTTTTTGATTACGTATAAATACCCTGTGAGAAAATTTACCGACTTTTTCATGTTTTGGGTTTTCCATCATTTTGAAACCCTAGAATGAGGGAGGATTTCATTAATATTTTTCTATCAAGCACTCCAGTTCAAGTAACCTAAAGGGTAATTGTGGCTACGATAGTTGCAAGTCTTTTGTAAGGCATTTCAAAGCCAGTAGGTAAGGTAGTTTATAAAATTTTGTTTATTTTGACGCGAAAGTCTTAGAAAAAAGCTCGGTTGGCAACTTTAATGGTGAAAAGCTCCAGAAAGCACAGGAAGTACTTCCAACGGATGGTTAGAACCTTAGTCTCTTTATTTTTTGAATCTAAGTATTTTTTTAATTTTATTGTTTTATTAACTTTTTAATTAGTTTTTAAATTTTATTGTTTTAAACAGAAAAATACGTAATTTTTTTATTTTATTTAATTTATAGAAACTAGTTTTATGTATTTGTTTTTTTTTGTTTTTAATTTCATTGTTTCAAAAAGAAAAATATATTATTTTAAATTTTGTTTCCTTTTAAGAAACTTTTTTTTTAGTTTTTTTCTGTTTTTATTTTGTTAACTTAATTTTCTTCCAATTTTTAGATTTCATTATTTTAAAGAAGAAAATATTGTTTTAATATCATTTAATTTTCGTGTTTTTAATTTTATTTTTTAAGTTTTATAAATTTAGATTTTGTTGTTTTAAAAAGAAAATTATATGCATCCACATACGTATGTTTATTAACTTAATTTAGTTTTTAAAAACTTTTTTATTTATTTTTTCTTTTTTTATATTTTTGTTTTCTTGTTTTTTTAATTTAATTTCTTTTTAACTTTAATTTTTTATTGTTTTGCACAGAAAAATATATATTTTTTTATTTTAAGTTAATTTATGATGACTTATTTTATATACTCAATCTCTTACGTTTTATTGTTTTAAAATGAAAAAAATAATTTTTTTGTTTATTTAATTTTTAAAATTTTTTTGTTTTATAATTTTTTTTCTTTTGTTTAATTAAGTTTTCCTTTAGCGTTTAGATTTTGTTATTTTAAAAAGGAAACATTTTTTAATTTCATATTTAATTTTTTGGAGCTTATGCTACTTTTCCTTACTTTTAATTTAATTTTTTGAGTTTTAGATTTTTTTGTTTTAAAAGGAAAAAATATATATGATTATTAGTTTCATTTAATTTTTAGAAACTTTTTTCTACTTTTTTTATTGCTTTTTTTAACAGAAAAATTATGTTGTTTTTTCTTGTTTTTAATTTGTTTTTTTTTCTTTCAGTTTACTTATAATTTTAGATTTTCCTGCTTTCAAAACAAAAGTGTGTACATATATTTATGTTTTTTTTTATTAAATTAAATTTTTGGAATACATATTGCTGCAAGGCAATTAGCAAAACGCTAAGACCTTCTCGTTAGCAGATCTTTCAATTAGTCGTTCGAAAGACAGAACTTTCAAGATATTTTCCATAATTGAAAATTCTCTTACGAAAGGCTGTGGTGAGTGGAAAGACAGTGGCCATAATGACCGTGTTAGTGTATCACCAATTCCTTCAAAATTGGATAAATGAAAGCAATCAGTAGCAACAACGATACTTGCAGCGCAACCGGTGAGAACAAATCTGGGTGGCGTCTGAAAATTCTTAGGACGAGAGAGACTAGAAAAACAGGAATTAAAATTTTACCAACAGTGCAATCCAAAAAAGTGTATACCAGGTGGCTTATGGCTTATGCCAATTCGGTAAAGATTGCATTAACGGTCCGCAATCAGTTCCGCCATTGCTTCTCTATCCGTTCCTCTTTAGAAACTCCAGCGCTGCATTAAGATTTTCCTACAGGTTATACAATTGCAGTTCTGTTTCTACTAAAAACATATTTATAACAGAAATTCGCAAAAAAAACTGTATCAGACAAAATGCATGACAGACAGCCGTGCAAAAAAAAAATATAAATCAAAAAAACTTTAAAACACCCACAGCTTGTGAAGGTCGGCGTCTTCGCAGCCCTAACTCAAAAAGTAAATAGGAAAAGACAGGTTCCAATTTGCTTTCCGCCTCCATCGCCCTAATTAACTGCACCTTTCCTGTTTGTATATGACAGCGCATTTTTTTTCGTAGTCTGCCTAACAGCCAGCCGGTTTTGCGCATGCGCCACATTACCACTTGATAAGCGTATAGGTACTTAACGCAACATTTCATATGATTTGTATTTCTTAATTTGCTTTCGGCGCGCTTTGCTCCATATTTACCTAGATACATTGAGTGAGTGTTACTTTTACGAGTACTGTTTTCAATCGATTTTTTTTAATATTTACTTTTTTTGTGCAGATAAACCACATTAAGCATTGTTTTGGTTGCGTTTTTGATTGACGCTTTCATATTTGTCGTGACGTACTTGACTTATGCTCCATTATATGTACATACATATTAGACCGGTGTGGTTAATGTTATTTATATTGCCCATTGCAAAAAAAAAATAGAAATAAATTAACAAAAAAATGCTTATTTTCTATTGTTTGTTGTGCAAATAAATTTTATTGTATCAGTTTTATATATCAATTTGTGGTTACTTTGGAGATTATCTTGATTTGGTGATTTGGCTGTTTGGTCGTTGGTCAGCACATTTTTTTAGAGAATATGCAACTAAGGAAGGTGAAGGCTTTTTGTGGATTTGGTTTTGACAATAAATAAAATAAGCCTCATGATGGCATTCGCTTACTCGCGGCAATGGGATTTCCATGGCAGTATATATTGCTCCTATGGGATGTTTAATTGTTTTCTGAGCAATGTACAAATTTTTCCCAATTTTTTTTTTAATTTTATCGCTAAGTTGCGATTTACATAGCTCAAATTCGAGAGAATGTTAGTCATTTGATAGGAATAATAATTTTGGGAGACAATGTTTGCTTTGATGAAGCTGGATTTTTGGGAATTCATCTTATCGCTCCAATTTGATCTAGATCTGAGATATGCAATAGTTAGTTCGTAAAAAAAAGTTTTGCCAGAATATCCACCAGATAGCGCTGGAGTAAAAATATTTTTCTCACGGCTAAATTTGGTCCAAATTCGTGGCATTTGTTGGTGTTGTTGGTGCTTTCACCTTCCTGTACACGAAGTATGAATTGTTACTGGCTTTCCAACTGTCCACTTCAGGGCAGTGAAACACTTTTCAAACAGAGGAGTTGCTTACTTTTATCACTAAAGTCGCTAAGTCAAGCGATCTTGCGACGCTCCTTAACGATACGGGGATCAAATAAGATCCGTAACTTGCTCCCTCATTTAGATAAGGTAAGGAAAAAATTTACCCTAGGGGTGGTACTCAAGTGAAGGTATTTAAAGGATTATATAATAGAACTGCTTCACTCCCGATAGTTTGTAAGCTTTCTTCGATAGGATTTTGGCATCATAAAATTATTCGCCCTAGCCATACTCTAAAAATCTAAAATCGTATTTTCTTCAAAGCTTTTTCATTTCTTACCCAAGTTCAGAGCATAATATATAGGTTTGAATGAAAATTTATTTTTTGAGTACTAAGTATATAATACTTCAAGATCATTTTGGTCTAACGTACCTCCCTCGATAAATATATACCCGACTATATTGGAAAAAGGGTTACAATAAAATTTAGAATTTTTATTAAGCCTAAATTTTATTCAGTTCAAAAACGCCCTATCTCATAAAACTTTCCAGTAATTTGGCTGAAGAACACCTTGTTTCATAATTCGGTTCAAAAATATCTCAGCTGCTGATCTCAAAATATTTTCAATACATTTTCAGTTGAGATAGGGCGTTTTTGGACCAAACTCTAAGATGGGTCGTTCCTCGACCAAATTTTGAGATAGGGTGTTTTTGAACCAAACTCCGAGATGGGGCGTTCTTCAACCAAATTCCGAATTATGGTGCTCTTGAAAAGTTTTCAGAGATAGGTTGTTTTCGAACGGGCTGCCGAGATAGGTTGATCTTCCACTCAGCTGTCAATACACAAAATAAAACTTTGGATGATTTGGGACAATGCCCACATTGGGCTGAGGGTTAGTCCTACCCCGCTTTGAAGGCACTTGTGAGTTTTCCTCAAGGAGATTGATCCCAGATTCTGTCGGCGTTGAGTGCTGAAGCTAAATGTCTACTGGCCATTGCACGTTAAAAGTGGACGTTAAAAGTTTCCATGATGAATTTAGAGCGGAGATGGGCACCGCCTTGCCCGCGGGCAAAGTTCTTTAAAGCTTTCTATATATTTTGTATAGACGCGGCCAGAGTAAAAGCTCTCTCTGCCCGTCGCTGATTAAGAGTTATCTGTGTGCTCAAGCAGAAGACGAGGCTTCAGTGGAATCACCGATAACGTAGCCGAAGTTTTTAAGTAGGTTTTATTTTCTTCATGCAAGTATCCAAAACTGCATTGTAAGAAATCATTGTGATCTATTTCGTTGGTCTCGTACTATACTACTGGATCCGCTCGGCGATCGAATAAAGTGAGGGTGATCAGCGGTCAACTGAGGCAGAGAGGTATCCGACAAGAGGCACCGAGAGACAAACCATCTAATCGACACGGTCTCTAACGATCTCACATGATGATTTCTGTTGAACCTTTAAAATGTGGAATATAAAAATCCTAATAAACACGACCTAGCTAAGTTTCCTCCACCCAGAAGAATGTCTGGAAAAACCTGGACAAGTAGAGAGATACAATTTCTTCCTAGGGTGCAATTATTTGCTAATCCGTATGAAACTTAAAAATTTAAAATTCGATTTGCAATACAAAACACTTTATTCAAAACAAGAGCTCAACAATTAAAATATATGTAAATAACATTCGCTTTTAACAAATGGAGTAACTCCTCCAGTTTCCAAAATCTAGCAGAAATTGTTTACCAACCCCAGTGGGTACCGAAACCATCGAAGCTCATGTGCGAAGCGGTATTAGCTGGTGAGTAGTGCACTGTCTGGCTGGAACCATAACCGGACAGTCCGGGAGCATTGTGGGTGTATGTAGTCGCAGCTGATCCGTGGTTAATATTGGTGGTGGCGACAGGAGCTGCATGGTGGTAAACTGGAGCTGCCTGGTGGTAAACTGGAGCTGGAGCAGCATAGGTGACAGACTTTGCCACAGCTGGGGCAGCATACGTTACAGTTTTGGCAACAGGTACTTCATGTTGATACACTGGAGCAGGAGCAGCGTAAGCCACAGTCTTGATGGAGTGGGCGTGAGCAGGTGCATACACAGCCTTGCTAACGATGGGAGTGGCGTGGGTGTACAAAGCTGATGTGTGTGCTGGAGCGGCGTAGGACACAGTCTTGGCGACAGCTGGCGCCGCATAGGCTACAGTTTTAGCAACTGGAGCGGAGTGTGCATAGTAAGCGGTTGGAGCTGGAGCAGCATAGACCGTTTTAGCTACAGCAGGCGCTGCTGCGTAAGTGACAGTCTTGGCCACAGCAGGAGTGTAGACATTATTGCTGACGCGAGTATCCGATTTATGAACGCTGGAGTAGGGAGTTTCAATGGATTTCGAGTACTGTGAGACAGTACCATCGAAAGTGCGTACGACGTTCTGGTGACTGGAGGCGACGGCATCGACGGCGGGATTAGCGTAGTGGGCGTAGGTGACGGGCTGCAACACACCGGCGCTGGCGACAGCCAAAAGAGCTGAGAGTACAACGAATTTGAAAGCCATTTGTATGAATTAGTTGATTGTCCGTTTGCTTTTGATTGAGCTAAGTACTTGAAGTGGGTGCTGTAGTGTTTGCAATGAAATGACTGATCGATTACTGATACCAATTTGGTTGTGGCGCGCTGCTTTTATACGATCACGATGCAGAGAATTTACAGGTGCGTGGCTTAATATTTCGTTATTGTATTTGTTTGCATGTGCATATGTATGTATGTAGCTGTCAAAATTTGCAAAGTTAACTCTTCATATTTCTAACTATTGTTCCGTGACACTGTAATATTTGTTTTTTTTTCGTTTTTAAGGTTAATGGGCATAGGCTTACTTTTATAATTCAATTCGCATTGATTGCATTATACATACTTAATGGATTCTTATAAGTATATGCGTATTAAGCTACACATTCCCTGAACATGATAAAATTATACATTTAGTTAAACAATTTGCTAAACTGTCGGCGATCAACGCTTTACGCAATTGCATTTGGATAAACCATTATTTATGCAATTAAAGCTCTAAGCCACATAATTAAAATTCAAAGTTAAGGTCTAAAATATTCTCCCTTTAATATCAAAGAAAATATGCTATCCAGGCACGAAATTACTAGCGGAAACTAAACCGAAAACAAGCAGTTCCTTTAAAAAGTACACTTTTCTCAAACCACAAATATTTAAACCACCTCGCAGGGACACAGTCCGGGTATTGAGTATGACGATGTCAATATCACCTGCATATGCCAGCAGCTTAATGTTTTTTCTGTATATGGTGCCATTGTGATTCAGATCTGCAGATCGTATTACGCTTTGTAACATCAAATAAACAAAATCTCACGTAATGTAGTCGCCTTGTCTAAGACCAAACTTGTTCTCAAACGGAGCGGAGAGTTTATTCCCAATGCGGACCGATACTAAAAGTGGAGCTTAGGGTCAACAAGCTTTGCAAATTTAGGCAAAGCGTCAAAGAGTCAGCTGCCCTTCGGGCTATCAAAATCGGCTTTAAAATCGACGAAAAGGGTAAAGTCGACGCGCTGTGCAAATTTCGGCTAAAATCGCTTAGGCGATTACAGCCCCAAATAAGAAGAAGAAATAAAATATCACAACAAAGTGGATGTCAAACGAGATCTGTTCCGAAAATATTATTTTAGGAGGATTCTAAAACGATGTACTTCAAGATAACTTTGAAGAGTGTTGCCACCTTTTAAAAATATTAAAATCAATATCTACAATTATTAAGTTCCATTAAATAGTTTTGTCTGCGTATCAAACTAGAGAGGGTTAAGGAAACTTTCTTTGAAAAATTATTCTTAAGAGGGTTGCCATCTGTTTTGAATTTCATAATCAATTTAATTAACAAGTTAAATTAAGTATTTTAAATGGGAATCAAATGAACGAGAATCCTAAGAAAGCTTTATATCGAAAAAATTTTTGATGAGGGTTGCCACCTGTTTGATAATTCAAGATTAGTTTATTTAATGGTTTAATGAAATATTTTATTAAATGTATCAAACAAGAGAAATTCAAGAAAGGTCTATTTCGTAACTACTTTTGAGGAAGGTAGCCACCTGGTTAGAAATTCAAAATCAAAATTAACAAGGTAAATAAAATATTTTAATATAGGTGTCGAACGAGAGAGATTTTAAAGAGGCTTATTTCATACATATTTTTGAAGATATGTCAACTCTTTGTTTATTTAAAAACTAAAAATATATTTTTCCAAGTTTAATGAAATATTTTAATATGGGTGTCAAACTAGATAGCTTTAAAAAATGTTTATTACAAAAATATTTTATAAGATAGTTGCCACCTGTTTCGAAACTCCAAATCAATTTTATTAGGTTAAAGTTAAATATTTTAATATGGGTGTCAAAGGAGAGAGGTTTAAGAAAGGTTTATTATGGAGGAATTTTTGACGGAGGTTGCCACCAGGTTAAAAATTCGAAACCAATTTAATTAACAAGGTATATGAAATATTTGGATATGAGTGTCAAACGAGAGAGATTTAAAAAGTGTTTATTGCAAAAATGTTTTTCAAGATGGTTGCCACCTGTTTAAAAGCTCAAAATCATTTATTAGTTAAATTAAGTATTTGCATATGGGTGTCAAACTAGATTGTTTTAAAAATGGTTTATTTAAAAAATATTTTTGAAGATGGTTGTCACCTCGTTAGAAACTCCAAATCAATTCTAATAAGTTAAGGTTAAGTATTTTGATATGGGTGTCAAACGAGATAAGTTTAAGAAAGGCTTGTTTCGGAACTATTTTTACGGAGGTTGCCACCCGGTTAAATATTCAAAATCAACTTAACTAACCAGATAAATTAAACATTTTAATAAAGGTGTCGAATGATAGAGATTCAAAAATAATTCTGAAGATGGATGCCACCTGTTTAGAAACTCCAAAGAAATTCTATTAAGTTGAATGAACTGTATTTATATGGGGGTAAAACGAGACAGGTTTAAGTAAAGTTTATTTCTAAATTAATTTTGAAGCTTTATTTTTAAAATACTTTTGAAGAGGTTCTACCAGTTTAAAAAATCCAGTTATATACTGGACTAACTTGCCAGAGGTACGCCGACGACATTGTAATAATATGCAGAGGGAAATTCGAAAACAACCTGGGGCTGAATGTAAATCCAGCAAAAACCACTATAGTACCATTCGCAACGAAAAACAAACCTGATAGATAGATAGATAGACATTATATACAAAAAAGATGTTAAATTCCTAGGAGTAATACTAGACAAAAAACTATTCTGGAAAGCACTGGTGGAAGAAACTGCGAAGAAAGCTATAAGATCGTTTATGACGTGTAGGTCCATGGCAGGAAAGAGTTGGGGCTGCACACCAAAGATAATGAAATATTTGAGATGGATCTACACGACAATAGTACGACCCATGATAGCTTATGGAGTCATCGTTTGGGCCGGTAGAACTTCACAATTTGGAGCAATCAAAGTGCTCTCCAAGATACAATGGCTGGCATGCATATGCACAACGGGAGCCATGAGAATCTGTCCAATCGCATCCTTGGAGGTTCTTTTAGATCTTACCCCTCTTCATATTCACATACAGACTCAGGCGAAAAGAGCTTTACTACGGATGACTGGTACCAATATTGGGGCAGCAGGGTGTTTTAGTCGTGGGAAGTTGGGTATTCATACGATAAAGTTTGCTGAAATTGCAATACCGAGGGATAATATGCATCCGAGGGTCAGCTTTACAAAAAGGTTTAAGACTGATCTGAGTAATAAGAAGAGCTGGTCAGGCATATCCGAGACATATCGGATAAACCAAAACATGATTACCTGGTGCACTGATGGCTCATTGACCGACGAGGGTACCGGGGTAGGAGTAGTTGGACCGAAATTAAGATACTCGGAACCAATGGGAAAACATATGTCTATTTTCCAGGCTGAAACATACGCCATAGAAAGATGTGCGGACTTTAATATCAAGCGAAACTACCGGAATCAGAACATCGCGATCTTGATCGACAGCCAAGCGGCTATCAAGGCCCTCAGATCTCACCAGGTAACATCTAAACTGGTGATGGAGTGCCTCGGTAAACTGAATACTCTTTGCCTGTACAATCAGATTTGGGTTCTCTGGATTTCGGGACTTATTGGTATTGAAGGAAACGAGATTGCCGATAAACTAGCGAAGAAAAGTGCATCAACCCCTTTCACCGCCCCACAGCCTTTCTGCGGCTTAGGAAAAGGGGCACTCTCTGAACTAGTTCGGCTAGAGGAAGAGGCTCACAGGAATCGCTACTGGGATAATCTATCAGGTCTAGAGCAGTCCAAAGCACTTTTAGGAACATATAACCTAAAACGCTTCAAGGAATGTATGAGCTTATCAAATAATAACTTAAGAATTGTTACAGGAATCTTGACAGGACACAGGCTGAACTATCACCTAACTAACATAGGAATTTACTCGCATGAGCGATGCAGATTTTGCAAGGATGGAAAACGAGACTGCACAGCAAATCTTAGAAGAATGTCCTGCACTGATGCATAAACGCAAAAGGCACCTGGGTGAACATTTGATAACCAAAGGCGAAATGAAATCCGTAGATTTAGGTTCCATACTAAAGTTTCTCTCGGATACTGCAGTAAAAGATACCCTATAATCCATTAAGGGGGCATTGATTTGCTAAAACAAAACGATTTTTTTTTTTAATTTTTATGCTTAAGATCGGTAGAAAAAAATTTATTCAACAACAACTAATAAAGAGTAACAATTTTCAATCGAAGTAATTTAATTGGATCACAAATATATGCAGCGAATTTATTTACCAACCCCAGTGGGTGCCGAAACCATCGAAGCTCATGTGAGACGAAGTCTCAGCTGGAGAGTAATGCACGGCGACAGGTGCGGCATGATGGTAAACTGGAGCAGGAGCAGCGTAGGACACAGTGTTGGCAACAGCCGGGGCAGCATACGTCACAGTTTTGGCAACAGGTACCTCATGTTGATACACAGGAGCAGGAGCAGCGTAGGACACAGTCTTGGCGACAGCTGGCGCCGCATAGGCTACAGTTTTAGCAACTGGAGCGGAGTGTGCATAGTAAGCGGTTGGAGCTGGAGCAGCATAGACCGTTTTAGCTACAGCAGGCGCTGCGTAAGTGACAGTCTTAGCCAGAGCAGGAGTGTAGACATTATTACTGACGCGAGTATCCGATTTGTGAACGCTGGAGTAGGGAGTTTCAATGGTCTTCGAGTACTGTGAGACAGTACCATCGAAATTGCGTACGACGTTCTGGTGACTGGAGGCGACGGCATCGACGGCGGGATTAGCGTAGTGGGCGTAGGTGACGGGCTGCAGCAAACCGGCGCTGGCAACGGCCAATAGAGCTGAGAGTACAACGAATTTGAAAGCCATTTCTATGAATTGGTTAATTATGTGTTTGCTTTTAATTGAAATTGGCGCTGTAATGTTTGCAGTAGATTGATCGATCGGCGACTGATACTGTTTTGGTTGTAGCATGTTTCTTTTATACGATTTCAGTCAAGTGAATTTAGAAATGTGCGACTGCGTATTTGAGGGTGGCGCAGCATAGACCCACAAATGCGATCGTGTAGCAAGTCAATCTTGAATATTTCTGACCTTGTCTGTTATTTTCTTTTGAACATTTTGCTATTACCGCTAATTGGGTTACTTTAATGCAACAGCAAGAAAACAAGTTATTGCAAACGTATAACGAACATATTTGGTAAACACCTGCTTTTTCAATTTCAAAATTTGTGTACGGTTTTTTTACTTAAACGGCATATATCTACAATTTGGTCCAGGTTGCATTAATGGTAAATGTCATGCCAGTGCAAGAGGCAGAAGGTTTGTTTTCTGCAAAATGATATTTTTAAGAAAACAAAAGAAATAAAAATCAAATATTTTTCTTTCGGTATGATTTACCGATTACTTCATGTAAATTTATGTATCCAAATGATCGTTGTGTGAACTGTAATTTATTTTTACAGGGCAATTCTGTCTAAGACAGTCGAAAGTCTTTTGTAGTTAAGAGAATCGAAAGACATCAGGTAAGATAGCTTTATTTTTTTTGTATTTTTTTTATTAAATGTTATTTTCATTTTAAAATTTTATTGTTTTTAAAAGAAGAAAATGTATGTATTTATGAAATATTTTATTTTGTAAAACTTATTTTATTTTCGTATACTGATTTTTCGTCTTCTAATTTAATTTTTATATTTTATTGTTTAAACATATACTTTTTTTATTTCACTTAATTTTTAGAAACATTTTTTTATTCTTTGTAAGTAATTTTTTTTCGTTTAAATAAATTTTCCTCAAATTTCTAAATTTAATTTTTTAAGAAATTTCTTTTTTTTAATTTCGTTAAATTCTTAGCAATTTACTTATTTTTTCTTTTTTTTGTATTAAGAAAAATTTACCTTTGCAAGGCAAGTCGGTCCAAGATATTTGAAATTCCTTTGTAAGACAGTTGAAAGACAGCAGGCTAGGTAGATTGAAAGTTTGAAAAAAGTTGAAAAAAAGTTTTAGCTCCCTTTATAGCTTTCACTGTGAAAAGCTCTTTTGACACAACGCACTTGTATGTCATTTTGCTCGCCCTGCTCCAACAGTCGAAAATGATCTAGTGAGCAAAGCAAAGTTTTTATTTTTTAGAAACTTATTTGACTTTTTTATATTGAATTTTTTTTTTACCTAATAAAATAAATTTTTATATTTTATTGTTTGAAAAAGAAATATTCTTTTTAGTTTTAATTAGTTTTTAGAAACATGTTTGTATTCTTTTCTTATGTACATTTCTTTCTTTTTAAATAAATATTCTTTTATTTTTTAGATTTCGTTGCTTTAAAAAGGAACATATTTTTTTTTTTTTAATTTTTAGTCATTAATTTTTTGTTATTTCTTTTTTAATCAAATGGCCGTATTCATAAAAAATAAAATAGGTTTAAAGAGTTAATTTTCATATAAATTTTCTATTTATAAAGCAGTTAAAGTCTTCTTTATTTTTATGAATTCGGGTGTTAATTTATAATTTTTTTATTTTTTCAATTGATTTTTTTTTTTAAATTAAACTTTCTTTAAATTTTCTAGTTTTTATAAACATGTTTGTATTCTTTTCTTACGTACATTTTTTTCCTTTCAAATAAATATTCTTTTAAATTTTAGATTCCATCGCTTTAGAAAGAAACATAAATTTTTTTTAATTTTTCTTAATTTTTAGTCATAAATTTTTTATTATTTTTTAAATCAAATGGCCATATTCATAAAAAATATAATAGTTTTAAAGAGTTCTATAAAGGGACATTTTCATAAAAATTTCCGATTTATAAAGCAGGTAAAGTCTTCTTTATTTTTTATGAATTTGGCTGTTATTTTTTTTTTCTTTTTTTTTTTAATTTAACTTTCTTTAAATTTTCTGGTTTTCATTGTACTAAAATCAAATACTTGTTTTTTTTTTTAATTCAATTACATTTTTCGAAAACTTATTGCTGCAAGGGAATTAGAAAAACGCTAAGACCTCCTCTTTAGCAGATCTTTCAATTAGACTTTCGAAAGACTGAAAAGAGAGCTTTCAAGATAATTGCTAGAATTTCCCTCTTAGTCTCAATGCCGACTTCTCCCTTGATTCTTTTCATTAAGTCTATAGAATACAGCTTTAGCATTTTTTTTACCACTGCCGTGGGAGTGGTGCCCAACCCCACCAAGAGCGGAGCGCTACTACATATGCGCCTATATATTTAACTGACTGTTCAGTTAAGAGACTTTAAGTTATAAATCCATCACTTTTGTACTATTCTCAATTAATATTAACAGAAAACTGATTGATAACCTAAAACTGCTAATCAAATAAAATCAGAATCTTGTCCTAGTGTTAAAACTACATTTAAAACGATACTTTTGGGAACAAATGTAACAACAGCCTGGCAAAATTTGCTTTATTAGTTAAGATTTCAGATGAATCAAATTAGCTGACCAAATTGTCACTGGCAATTTACATCTAGCAATTTCCAAAAGCAATTGTTTCGCAGCAGAAGGAATGTAAATTAACACATACATATGTAAGTATGTACACGCATGCAAGGACACAGACATTCGCAAAGCGACAATTGCTCAATAATTCATTTCGTTTTCATGCAACGCATTTAATTTGCTATAAGTACACCCACAGCCGCGCGCACACCGCCACCAAACAATTCGCCTGCAACAGTGACAATGCGAAAATCCGTTGCGTATTTCATTTGTTTGCGTCACAGCAGCAGCAGCACCACCACCACCAGCAATAGCAACAGCAGAGGCGGCAATTGTACGGCGAGCTAGAACATTTACCAAGCAACAACTAAAACAGATTTTAATTACAAAATTTGCAGTGCTACAAACATACGTACATACATTGTTGCCGCCTTTGCTTTTGTTGTTGCTACTACAACAAATGTTTTTTTTTTGCACTTTTCGTCGAGCAACAAATGCACTCGGGCAATTGTAATGCTTGAGTAGTTGACTATTTTGTTGCATGCATCACTGCTGATTGTTGCATCTTCTTTCTTGTTGTTGTTGTTTTTTGTGGGCCAAAATTTTCATGTTTTAAATTGCATTTGGTGCGTAAACTACTTCAGCTGCGACCTTCAAATGCCAACTCGGCAATTCTTCGCATAAATGGTAATATACATATGTATGTAGTATACGTATATGCATTAGGGTGGTACAAAAAGAGTAAAAAAAGTATACCCCTATTTTTTTTTGAAATCAAAAAATTTTTAGTGGTCGCTGAAAGCGCTCAAAGTTTTCCATGTATTTTATGTGGGGGAAAAACAACTTTTCGTTGAAATAGTATAAAATTCTTGAAAATCAATACTCAGGTTCCCTCCAGGAGACTTTCTGTAACTATAAACTATTGTTTATTTAACCATTTTTTAATACGAACGATTTTTTATGGGTCCCTCCATTGCATTTGTCGGGGTTTTTGGGGGTTTTCGGCGGACCTATAAATTATAATTACTAGGACAAAATGGTTAAATAAACATTTGGATATTATTATTGGGAATCTCTTGCAGAGAAACAGAGTTTCCCGAACAAAGAATATTGATTTTTAAAAACTCTATACCATTTCTCCGAAAAGTTGTTTTTTCTTTCTATATAAAATACCTGGAAAACTTTGAGCGCTTTAAGCGACCTCTAAATATTTTTCGATTTCAAAATAAAAGATAGGGTATATTTATTTCAGTATAGAAGAATCCTAGGGTTGAGAGCATACAAATTCCAACTTTACTTTTTCACATGCTTTTTTTTGACCACCCTAATATGCGTACATATAAACATCCATGCTACTGGCAGCCAACATAGAACGCATGCGTTTGCAAATTATTGCTGAGTATAAGCAAAACAAAAAAATTACATAAGCCAATGGAAATATCCATATACATACATACATTTACATACATATTTAGATGCACATCAGTATGTTTATCACTTCGCTCACATCCATCTGGCTGAACGCCCTGGCATAGGCTACGTACGAATCGTCTACAAAAGTTGCAACATTGCATGTCAGAATGCAATTTGGTGGCCATAAATAGCTAAGCCACTCACACAAATGCATAACCACACCCACTCACAATTCGCACAAACACACGCACATACAAACATACATATTTAGTTCTGTCTAACAAATACAAGCATTTTACACCATTCATCGTTCGCTGGCTGACTGGCTGCCTGACTGCCCAGCAGCCTGGCTGTCGCATTGCATTTGCGAATAATTAAATTATGAAAGGGACATAAGACGCATAATAAGTCATAAATCAAATTTACTTACCCTGGGGACAATTTGGATGCAGACATGGCCATACAAATATCTGTATGTACATATTTAGACAGATAAACTGTCGAGCGGCTGGTGATGAGGAGAGGATGATGATGCAACAATGGAACGGGCAATTATATTACAAGTGTGACTGCAATTGGTTTCACATACAAGCAAAGAGAAATTTCTATGTATGTATGTAGGTTTAATTGTAAATAACTTAGCGCAATATATGCAACTATTTATTACTTGCGAGCCAATGATGTTGCATATGTTTTTAATGTTGAACGGCAAAAGTTTTATGTTTCAAGAAGGCGCAAGTGACAGCTGGTTCACTGAAACAGCAGAACGATGGGCGTACAAATATACAATTCATTGGCGTGGCTGCGACATTTAGCTAAATAAAATATGCTGTGTTTGACATTTGAAAGAACATAGGAGTGTTGTATGTTTTTTTTTCAAAAAATTTGCATTTACTGATCGGCATTGGAGCTTATGGCAAAAGAAATAATGCTGAGGAACATAAAATGTTGGTCATAATAATAAATGGTCGTTAGTTAGTTGAAAACTTTGATGTAGAGGAACAAGGAAGACG